AAACCGCACCACTCCCTTGCCGCCTTCTCCAAAACTTATGGACCTTTAATGTCTCTTAAGCTCGGTAACACCACCATGATCGTCGTTTCCTCTCGCGAAATCGCGCAAGAATTCTTTTCGAAACACGACTTTTCTTTCTCCAGCAGATCCATCCCATATGCCGCTTACGCTTTARACCGCCATAAATCTTCCATGGTTTGGTTGCCGGTTGGGGATCAATGGCGATTGCTACGAAGAATATCCATAGAACATTTGTTCTCGGTGCGCCAACTAGACGCTAGCCAGCTCCTACGCAAGAAAAAGGTTCAACAATTTCTTGATCACGTTCATGGCTGCTGCAATAGCAGCAGAGCGATCAACATCGGTCAAACCGCAGCCACAACGACTCTTAACGTTCTTTCCAACTTCATCTTCTCGATTGATTTAGHTGAATATGATTCGGTTTCATCTCAAGATTTTAAGGATCTGGTATGGCGTTTTATGGAAGTTGGTGGAAAATCGAATCTAGCTGATTTCTTTCCTGTTCTTCGTCCGCTGGATCCACAGGGCCTGCTACGAAAGGCCAATCTGTATTCTTCAAAGCTAATGGAGATATTCGAAAGACATATCAGCAAACGGTTGCAAGAAAGAAGGAATAGTCCATATGATGCCCCTCCATCAGGCAAAGATCTTATGGATTTGCTGTTGGACATCAGCGAAAACGAGAAAGCCTCGATTAATATCGATGACATACGTAACTTGATATTCGTAAGTAATCTTGTTTCTAATCTCGAATTCACATTAAGGGGGTGTTTGGGATTGTTTATTTAAAAAAACTTATGTTTTTTTTGTAAAAGTGCTTATTAACTTATGTGGTATCAAACTGGAGTTTTGTAAAAAGTGTTTGAATTAGCTTATAATGGTACCAAAAAGCAATAAGTTGATAAGTTGGTTTTTAGTGTTTGGCAAATTTGGCTTATAGATGTAAAATTACCAAAAAGGTCCTCCAATCAACCTCCAGAGTTCATCGTCTCCATCCTCGTCACTCCAAACCCTATTTTCTCCAGATTCCTCTCCATCCTCATCACTCCAACCCTATTTTCTCCAGATTCCTCTCTAGTGTTCATCCGTGTTTGCACCCGCCGTGGAAGAGGTTGTCATCGCGAGACCCTGTGAGTGGTTTCTCCCCGAGAACCTCTGCATCGGCGAGTTTCTTGGCACCGATTTCCGTCTCCAAGACGACATCCGTCTCCTAGATGACATTCGATTCAATTTCACAGGCTTCACAGAGGCTTTGGTGAGATGGACAGACCTCGATTTCTCTGGTTTGAGATTCTCTGGTTCGATTTCACAAATTCATCGGTCGGTCGCTTGAGAGGAAGGTAAGGGTTAAAATGGTAAATTGTTAATAAGTTGATTTTGATAAGTCAGGGGGGATTGACTTATCAAAAACGACTTATTACCGGTTTGGTATCGGTATAAGCACTTTTTTTTTTACCCAAACACTCCAAAATGACTTATCTCCGATACCGAACTGAAATAAGTTAATAAGTCAGTTTGAAAATCTTACCCAAACACCCCCTAAATACTTGATATATATATATATATATGTGTATATATATATTGATCATGTATTGGTGCATACAGGACTTATTTATTGCAGGAACCGATACGACATCAAGCACGTTGGAATGGGCAATGGCGGAGCTAATAAACAACCCCGAGAAAATGTCGAAAGCTCGATCTGAACTTGAGAAAGTAATCGGAAAGGAAGACCGAACCTTTCAAGAATCCGACATCCCTAGGCTCCCATACTTGCAAGCTATTGTCAAAGAAACTCTTCGGCTACACCCTCCAGTCCCGTTTCTAGTCCCGCATAAAGCCATAACTGACGTTGACATCTGTGGCTACGTCATCCCAAAAGATGCACAGATCATCTGCAACTTGTGGGCGATGGGTCAGGACTCAAACGTATGGTCAAATGCACAACAGTTTGAGCCAGAGCGGTTTCTTGAAGTGGGTATCGACTACAAAGGTCGTGATTTCGAACTGATACCGTTTGGTGCAGGGAGGAGGATGTGTCCAGGATGGCCTCTTGCACACAGAATGCTGCATTTGATGTTGGGATCTTTGATTTACAAGTTTGATTGGAAGGCTGAAGAAGGAAGGATGGATATGAGTGATAAGTTTGGATTCACATTGCATAAGAAGCTGCCTCTAATGGCCATTCCAATCAAACTTTGACTTTTGCAATTAATGCTTGGCGTATTTTTTTAATAATACACATGCTTATCTTTTTATCTTGAAGTTGAAGAATAAGGAAAAATAAAAAAAATTAAAAGAAACTGCCTCTAACAATTATTGCTTGAAATATTTTCTATATAATAATACGCATGATTAGGGGTGTTTGTGCTCTGGTTTAGACGATTTAACCCTCATACCACAAACCGTCAAACCAAAATGTAATTACGGTTTGTAAAATTTTAAGTTGAACGGTTTAACGTCAAGTGTCCATACCAGTCAAGTCAGATCACGAAAAGACGGTCTGGTCTGACCGGTTTAGGCGGTTTAAGCTTTTAATGAACTTTAAATATTAAAATTAAAAAACATATATAATTTATATTTTTAGATTAAATATTCATTTTGATTATGTTAGATGTTAGACTTTAAATTAGGCTTAGGGATATATTTGAGGCATAGCACGTAAGTTAAAAAAATTGGGTTTACTAATACTAAAATAAATAATATATTTGATGGTCGGTTTGGACAAAAAAAGTTCCAGACCGCAGACCATACCGCCCGATTTTTCTATTTTCCACACCAAACCAAACCGTCAGACCGCTCAAAGCACAAAAAATGATCCAGTTTGACTTGGTTCGGCCGGTTTGAACGGTCCAACGATTTTTTTGAACACCCTACGCATGCTTTTCTTTTTCTCTTGAACTTGAATAAGAAGGAAAATAAAAAATACCCTTGTGACCACGAATGTTCAAATATAGTGGTTTCAGCCTACCCGTAAAATAGATGGTTATATTAGAATTAGTCAGCTCGCATAGCGGATTAAATATTCAGGTTAATAAAAAGGGAAAAATAATAAATGGTCGGTGAAGAAGTGAAGAACATGTACCCTAAAACCGATCAACTAATATTAAATTGAATCAATGACCTTTTCATAATTATAAGTGGTTGTTTGGTTCATGGATTTGGATGAAATTAGAAGGAATTGGAATGGCCAAATCCTTTGACCAATTTCCAAATAGAGTGGTTTGGTTCATAGAATAAAACTATGGAATCCTTTCAATTCCAGTAAATTTCTTCACTCACAGATTTTACAATTCCAAAGCAATACTCTCGGATTTCAATTCATTTCGTACAAATTCCTTCCCTAATCCAAATTCATTCAACGGCGTCTACCATCTCATCTCATCGATCTTTGGTTCGATCTCCAATCTGGTACGTTCTCTCTCTCTCTCTCTCGTAATTTCTCCATCTATCACAAGATCAATAGACAACATACGTAATCAAGAAATCGATTCAAGATAATTAGCTATCGATATCACTAGTCCCACTCCATATATCGATAATTCTTGAAATCGAACCCCCAATTGAATGGAATTAGGGCACCAATCACTTCTGTAAACAAAATTCCATTGTAAATGGATTGTTGCATTTGTAGCTATCACTAATCTGTATGATCATTTGTAGCAATATAGGATAAATGGTAATTCCATTTTGTATTTTGGTTTTTAATTTTGGCCAATATGGAATTATGGGTGTTGATGGTTGCTGTAGCTGGATTGAAGTTCAATAGATTGGGCAGATAAGTTGGTCATTACTTGGTTTTAGAGATGGTAATTCCATTTGGTGGCTGTTGCTATGGCCTTTGGTCAAATTGGAAAAATCCTTCTGTTATCTTACTTGTTGATTAGATTCTSCTTCTAACCATGCTACTGTATTAAYTTGTTGTGTGTCACCGTATTAATTTGTTGTGTGTCACCGTATGTATTCCTTCATAGAAAAGTAAAAGTTTTAGATTCGTGAAAGGTGCAACCGTATTAAGTTGTTGTGTGTCACCGTATGTATTTTGAAACTACAATATAAACAAGTTTTTACTTGGTATAGTTGGTTTGCAAAGCTTTTACTCAATCCCAGACCCAAGTTCGAATACTGTGAGTGTCATTTTCTTAGTCAAATGTTATCATCGTTTGAAAAAAAAATATGTATATTTGTTTCTTATGATCAAACGGTGTCACTATTTGAAAAAAAAAATTCCCTATATATTTTTATTATAGTCAAATTGTGCCCCGTTTGACAAACTTTATGGGTACGTCCCTRCGTTTTATACGTTTCATTTTATAAACTATTTAATTCTATTGTTTTCCAATATAAACATCAAGTAATCATTATATAGTCAGATTTATATGAAAATAATAATAAAAAATAAGAGAATGAAGATGTAYCATACAATTCATTAAAGGAGGGTATAAAGGTCATTTAATTAGATAAGAGTTATTGAAACTATTTATTTAAGATTATTTATTTTAGGGGCTGTTTGTTTGGCTCTTAATGGTTACATTAAGAGCCAACCTCTTAATCGGTAAGAGGTCAAGGTTGTTTGGCAAAAAAAATGGCTCTGAATGGTTACATTTTCCCTCTTAACCATTTTGCATCTAAGGGGTCTCTAAACCATTCAGACTTCTCTTTTTCCATATTTGCCCTCTCTCCCAACATTCCTCACACATGGCTCACAGCCCCTCCCCCCACGTCGCCGGTCTTCAAATCCCTCCCCCCACCCCACGTCGTCGGTCTTCAAATCCCTCCCCCCACCCTACGATCGCCGGTCTTCAAATCCCTCCCCCCACCTTACGATCGCCGGTCTTCAAATCGCTCCCCCAACCCTACGATTGACGGTCTTCTTCTTCCAGCAGGTCTCACGTCGCCTTCTTCCAGCAGGTCTGTCGTCGCCGCCGTTTGTTGCCGTCGCTCGTCGCCGCCGTTCGTCGCCGCCTCCGGTCACCTTCCACAGCCTCCTTACTGCTGCATCCTCTCCTGTCTAGGGTTTGGTTTAGGGAATTTTTAGCATTTTTCTTTGGAAATTGATGGTGTTTATTGCTAATTTCATGTTTGTAACAATGTTAATGATGATTGGATTACCGACATTTTGCAATTTCTTGAGGATTTGATACTGATATGAAGAACAGCATCTTTTCTATATATCCGTTTAGAATTGATTGTATTTCTTGAGGGTTAAAATGGTAATTTGTTGTAATTCAGAGAACAATTACCAAACAACCTTGTTTCATTCAGCACTTAACCATTCTGATCCTCTTAGTCATTCTAACCTCTTAACTATTCTGAACTAAATCATTCAGCAACTGTCAAACAACCCCTTACCATTTTTATCATTTTAATGTGACTTCATTTTTTAGTTAAAAAGATTTTAAAATAAGTACAATTTAATTTTTATTTAAAGAATTTTTTTTTTGTTTAAAGCAATATTTACAGTTTTCATCAAAATCATAAATGTGATTTACAATTAACTGAATTTCTTTTTCCAAATTTTAGCACATGCATGAGATTTAAAGCKTGAAAAACAGTTATTCAAATTAAAATTTAAAAAGAAGGAAACAGAATCACATGTGTTGTGTGGCATAATACATAATTAATATGTATACGATCACATGTGATTCAAAATGTAATTCCTAATTTTTAAATATCATATTTGAGGGTTGGGTTCACGTGAGATCAAGGGTTTTTCATGAGACCCGTAAGACCAATTTATGTTCATTGTTCAACTTTATAAGCTAATGATCTAATGGTCTAAAGTTGCAAGGTGGCAATTTTGTAATTATTAAGAAGTCTCATAGCGTTTATGAATGTTCAGATCTGACGATTGTAAATATAATCCAAGGGTTGAGAATTGATCTTACGGGTCTCACGAAAAATCATTGGTCTCACATGATCCCAAGTCTCATATTTGATGTTGTAAATAAATTAAATTATATTTTCCACTTAAATTTACTATCATCAATATTATATATTATTTTATTTTTTTTGAAAATTTGGGATTTTTTTTGGGAAAAAAACAAGATAAATTATGGATATCACATATGATTTTTGACGAAAATTATGAAAAAAATCTTAACTAAATTACTTCAATAAAAAAATATTTTAAATGAAAAATTAAATCATGCTTATTTTAAATGTCATAGAAAATAAAATAGAAATCATGAAAATTTAATTATTCTCGGAATCATGAAAATTGTAAAAAAAATCATGCATAAATACTTTAGTTAAATGTATTAAATAACCCTTACATAAATAAATGAAGCTCTGTATATGATTCATATCAAACAAATGACACATATGTGTTCTTATTAGATACCATTTTCGTTTGAATCTCTCTCTCCCTCTCTCTCTCTCTCTCTCTCTCTTTATATATATATATATATATATATATATATATTAAACGTATAGAAAGATTCATCTGAGAAGTGGTATATTTGAGAAGTAAATAAGTGATCATAATCCTTCACCTAGTCAACTTTTTCGCTTTGACCGTAAAGTACCRGCTAATTCCTGACATATGGGTGAAGATGGAGGGATAGTTTGGCAATTTCTACAAATAGAAGACAAACGAGTCCATATGTGAACTCATGAGATTCACATATAAACTATATGTTCACATGTGAATTCATTAATTAGTTCACATGTGAACTATTTAACTTATTCATATATGAACCAACATGTTCATTTGGAGCTCAAAAATGGTGTAAAAATGGTGATTCCTGACTTCTGTTTGTTTCTGGTGCAGGTGTGGTAGGACTGTTTAACTTTTATTTCACTATCCACTATAAGGATTTCTTAGTGCCACAGTGTAATATAAGATTTCTTATTAAAAAATTGTGGTGGTTGTGAGTAGAGATGGCCGAATGGGTCCAGCATGACCCAAGATTGGTGGAGGATCGGGATGGGGACCAACTTGTTACCAGCCCAACCCAGGATCGGTTTAGGATCGCCGGTTAAGGACCAATTATGGTTTTGGTCAAAAAAAAGGTCTGGCCCGGCCCAAGACTGACCCAATTTTTTACAAAAAAAATTGTATTTTTATATGTATTTATAACTGTCTATGTGTATTTGATTGAAAACTAATTACAAATTTATAATAAAACGTATTTGTAAGTGTATGTGATTGAAAACCAATTACAAAAGTATAATAAAACGTATTTTTTAAGTGTATGTGATTGAAAACCAACTATAAAACTATAATAAAACATATTTTTTWAGTGTATGTGATT